TCTCCTGCTGTCTCTTACCGAGGTATACCTTTAGGGTATTCAGGTCAACGCCCCCGCTTCCCGGCCCATTACTAGCCTCGTGGTGGATCAGATCTGATGAACCAGGCTGTTTACTGCTGGCCGCACGCAATCCGACGTATAAGCAAAGCCGGCTGGTCAGGTACTGACTTTTAGGTCCCTGTTTAAGCGCCTTCTTGAAAAGACGCCAGGGGTCTCTTGATAATCACCCTTATGTATGCTGGATTGCAGCTGAGCATGTTGGGCCTCTGACACATATTTGTGTTGCTCTCAGCGTTCTTGTGGCGCTCCACTTTTCATTGGGAGATTTTGCATCTCTGCCCAGCCTTTTTGCTTTTCGTAGGGAATGATTTCCATGTGAAAATGTGGATTAGCCCCTCTAGGATTTTCCAAGTGTAATATTATGATGTATCTCTCTCGCCTTCATCCAGGGAGTACAGGTCAAGGGACTCAACCATTCAGTAAATTGATGAGCTTTTTCTCTGTATATTCTCCAGTCAGCAATTTCTACTTCTTTGAAAGGGTCCGATAGTGTACAGCAATATGTCAGCCGTAGAGAGAACAATCTGAATGAGAATCATCACTAGCTTGGCATCCCTTAGTGTTGACGGTTCTCAGTATTTCATCCTATCATTTTCCTAGGCACCTGTTGTAGAGATATCGTTGTATGTTTGGAAAGTGGGATTCTTCAACATAACCAAACACCTTCACATTAGTTTATTTCGCTCTTTGTGAGGTTAGAATTTTATTTTATACTTGGATCCAGTTTTTATTTCCTCGAGTTTTTTTTTCCATGAGCAGAGGTAATTGAAATTTGTCCTCGTTGAACTCTATTGTTTTTTCTGAGGCTCATTACAAGTGGCCCGTGCCTGTGGGAAAGTTCTCACTTCACAAGCTGAGAAGTCCGGTTATAGTATTTCACACGATGTACATTTATTCACCAGCATGAAACATCTAAACATACACAATAAAGAGATTACATAAGTACATATATTATATGATATATATATTATATATAATATATATTTAATATATATATATATATATATATATATAAGCAAAAACAACCACTGTGAATGAATAGAACAGTTCCAACAATTTTCGTGACTACTCACATTATTCAAGGAGCAGTGAAAGTAAAGCATCAAAGGAAGGTATATAAAGGGTATCCCACACCTCACTATCGATCCCACAACAACAATAACACCGATGGGCGAGACAGCGCCCGCCGGACACGAACTAGACAGGTCCTTCATACAACCCACCAACAACTATTCTACCCAAGAATTTAAAAATTTATTATTTGTTCCAATGTATTTATTAATTCTCCCAATTCTATTAATTATAAATGGACTAATTTATAATAAACCAAAAGAAATAATACATATTATCAAAACTGCTTTTTATGAAACTAAAAGGATTCAATTATATTCCTGTCACCAGGACCATGCATGATACTACTTTTCTCACTTTTTGAAAATCCAATGGATGGTAAAAATCTCTACATGAATAAAAAAGAGCATTGGGAATCTTTTCCAGTTCTAAGCTATATTTATTTTTAATCTTAGTTCGAGATTTTCCAGTTTGACAATTATAAACTTTATATCGCAAATTTTACAGGAATGTTATAGACCAAATCCATCATCATTTTGGGGGGGAATTTCTTTATCAAAAGTTTTTTTTTACTGTATCAAGATTTTTGAATACAACATTAAATATTAAAAGTCTTAAGAAGAAAGGCATATCAACCAAGTTTTTCATGTAAGGAAACCAACAATTTATAGTTGAATAAGGCTGGTTGCCCTTTTTGGATTGTAAAAAGCATTTCTAGCAACTTAAAAAGATTAATCAATTACATTTCCCTTTTGGGTTAAAAATATCAAATCATACCTATTTCATAAATTTTGGATATTTCCCATCTATGAAACTCTGGAACTACAAATTCGTAAAGCTCTCAAAAACAATTGATGAGAAAGCAGACAGTTTGACTCTATCTTGATGGGAAGAATAATATGGCGACAAGGGATTTTTTATTTGTGGGTTTTTCTGTAAATTTTTAAATTTGAATTCATTTTTTCCTTAATAATTAAAACATCTAAAAAGGCAATGAGTTATTTCTTCAAATTCAACAGTAAAGTTATAGAAGGGGCTAAGCTTTTTTAAATTTTTCCCAAAGGGAAATGGTGTATACCCTACATTTTTGCTAAGACACAAAATACATAAACATATCGAACCATTTAGCTCTATTGGGAGGATGTTTTAAAGCAACCTTTTTTTCAAAAAATTCCATTATGGGTTTCTAAAAACGGGTGAAAGAGGATTTCCCTTCCATCCAAACTTCTGAGTGAAAAAATTTATCTTTAAAATAAAAAATTTTCACAACAAGAAAAGTTAAAAATTTAATGATAGTGGGAACTGGCAAGGAAAATCATAGTTAACGAGTTTCTTCGAAAAGAAACTTAATAAATCATAAACGGGAATTTCCCGTAAACAAGGAAGAACATCAAAACTAACCAGTTAAAATCATTTAAGTCATCAAGGAGCTTAATTTATGAACTAAATCTATGTTTTTTTAAAACTTTAAAGTTAGAATTTTTTGCCAACAATAGGCTCAAAAATAAAAATTTCTAATTTTTAATTTAAAAACAACATAGTTTTTGGGTTGATAAATTAAGCTCCGACTGACTTAAATGATTTTAACAGGTTATTTTTGATGTTATTTCCCTTGTTTACAAAAGTTCCGTTGATGATTTATTAATTTTCTTATCGAAGAACTCGTAATTTGATTTACCAATCTTCCCTACATTTAAAATTAAAATTTGCATTGTTGATGCAAAAATTTTTATTTAATGATAAGTTTTACACTCGAAGTTTGGTATGGCAATGGGGAAAACCCTTTCCCTGTTCTTTGAAACCCATACATAGAATTTTTTTTAAAAAGGTTTCTAACACAATCCTCCCTAATAAACTAAATGGGGTTTAGTAGTTGATGAAATTTTGTGTCTTATGCCCAAAAATGTAGATATACACCATTTCCCTTTGGAAAATTAAATAGCTTAGCCCATTCTATAAATTTACTGTTGAATTTGAAGAAAATAACTCATTGCTTTTTCTAGATGTTTTAATTATTAAGGGTAATAATGAATTCAAATTTAAAATTTACAGAAAACCTACAAATAACTGTTCCTAGTCCACTATTATCATCCCATCAAGATAGAGTTAAACTGTCCTGTTTTCTCATCAATTTTTTTGAGAGCTTTACAAATTTGTAGTCCTGAGTTCATAGATAGGAAATATCCAAAATTTATGAAATAGGTAATGATTTGAAATACCCAAGAAATGTAATTGATAAATCTTTTAAAGTTGCTAAAAATACTTTTTACAATCCAAAAAGGGACAACCACCTTATTCAACTAAAAATATGTTGGTTCTCCCTTACCATGAAAACTGGGTTGATTGCCTTCTCTTCTTAAGACTTTTAATATTAAAGTTGTATTCAAAAATCTTGATACAGTAAAAAAACTTTTGATAAAGAATTCCCCCCAAAATGATGATGGGTGTATCTATAAGATTCCTTATAAAATTTGTGATAAAGTTTATTACGGTCAAACTGGTAAAAATCTCAAACAAGATTAAAACAACATAAATATAGCATTAGAAACTGGACAAGATTCCAATGCTCTATTTATTCATGTAAGAGATTTTAACCATCCAATTGATTTTCAAAAAGTTGAGAAAGTAGTATCAAGCAAGTCCATTGTCACAAGGAATATAATTGAATCTTGTTTCATAAAAAGCAGTTTTGACAATAATATGAATATTTCCTTTGGTTTATATAAATTAGATCCATTTATAATTAATAGAATTTGGGAAGTATTTAATAACACATTGGACAAATAATAATTTTTAAATTTTCTTGGGTAGAATAGTTTGTTGGTGGGTTGTATGAAGGACCTGTCTAGTTCGGCCGGCGGGCCTGCTGTCTCGCGTCACGTGTTTTTGTTGTTGTGGGATCTGATAGTGAGGTGTGGCTACCCCTTTATATACCTTCCTTTGATGCTTTACTTTCACTGTTCCTTAATAATGTGAGTAGTCACGAAATCGCTTGGAACTTCTCTATTCATTCACAGTGGTTGTTTCGCATATTCTGAAATCACCTGTTTACTGTGATCTTATTGATACATATATATAAAATATATATATATATATATATATATATATATATATATATATATATATTATATATATATATATATATATATATATATATATGTACACATATGCACACATAAAGAACACAAACATACATATTTTCTGTTTCCATACAACTTAATGATCACTTATATTCTAATGAGGACTGGCAAATGTAAGGTGGACAATGAAGACACAATTCATGTTGTTTCCTCAGCTCTGCTGGAATGAAACTGTTAACGCTACCGTAGATGAACGCTTGTTCATGGAGGTACATGACGTTGGGGTTATGGGTTATACCAGGGATACCTTTCTCGGCTCACTGAAATACATAGGGCTTGGGTAATGGGATACGTGGGAAACCTTTCTCGGATCACTCAACGGCCCAAGCGCATCTAGTTAAGTGTCACCTGATTCCCTGTTAGTACAGTTCCAGGAGCTCTGTGTTAAACTTATGCACATTGTAATATTTCCATATTGTAATTTGAGTCAATTTACTATTTACTATACATAACAACAGAAGTACAACTTTAACAAACCACGATATACTTGTCTAGTATTAAATAGTCTGTAAACCATTATATTTAGTCTGCCTGTAATGCCAAGGCATGATAGTGGCTCTTTGCACTGCAAATTATATTAATGCTATTACACACTATGAACTATCTATGTAAATACTACTCCCTACAACATCTCAGTCTCATTTTAAACTTGCAAAGAAATAAAATTTTGAATTTGAATTTCAGTCTGAATGCTAATTTGATGATAAAAATATTTTCTTTTCATTGCAGATGTTGTTTCATGTGTTGGTGATGGTTGCTGCCTGCGAAATACATCTCCTTCAAGCTACCTCCAAGCATATTAGTACGTGTTAGTTTGCCGAGACTGAATGGCTAAAAGCTTAGTTCCAAAGTCTACCTACCATTACGGGTGAAATTATAAAATACAGTCTCACACTTAACGCCTGCAATGCATTTGAACCAGTCTGTAAATAGAAAAAAATCAGCATAGGTGTCAAGAATGTCTCAATTAATAAATTATGATCCATCTCAGGGAACACTGGGATTGACCCCATTAAAATGTAATATCTCCCACTGTTCAACTGTGTTAAACTCAGTAAGGTTAACTTGGTATTCGAGGTAGCAGATAGATAAGGATAGCATTCGGTGACTGGGAGGAGAAGCCTCGCTAACCAGTTTATATAAGTGCGGAATTTTGGAAGCGAAATGCTGACATAAGCGCTAAAACACTAGTATCAGTAGTCGTAACTCCAGCTAAGGTTTCCTAGTAATACACGAGTCATGGAAATGGAGTGAACTGAGAAATCTTTGCATCAAGACGATCACATGAAACATGAGCTGTTTCAACATCTTAGTTGTGCAGTTGTAACACAAGAATGCACCTCACATCTTTTGTTAAGGATCAGCCTTACTTGGGCGAACCTCTTCAAGGGGGGTTTTCATGTGGGGAAAAGGCTCTTGATCTAAGGAATTAGACCTTTTAGTCTTCTTCTTAGACCAAACCTAAATGTCGTCCCCCCCAGTCTCGTCCCAACCCCATCTTTAACATCCCACCTCCCTTCCCTCCCTTCTCCTCCCTTGCCTACGTTCGGCCTTTGGGGCTCTCGGAAATAATAGCTCCTGGGTCGAGGAAAGAAAATCTTTACCCGTCCTATCCTGTCGAGGCTCTCGGTGGTAGTAGTGTTTGCCGTGGAATCTGGATCATTTAGGGATGTGCTGATCCGTCCTCCAGAGTTTAGATATCCTCAAAGTGGAGGCTGTCGATTCCGGCAGGTGGCAGCTGAAGGAGGTACGTCTTGCGGTGGGCGGATTCGACTTCTCTTTTGTCTGCAGAGGTAGCTTGGTGGATGTGAGGTTACCCTGGACTGACGGTTTACTCGCATAAAAGGTAGGGCAGGGCACTGACCCCATATATCATGAGTGCTAATTATGTAAAGTTGTGATAGAACCTAACGTATCCCGTGTATAAACAGGGACCTCATCTTTGACCTATGTGATGAAGGGTTTTGAAAACCGACAAGTTGAAGAATTCAGACACTTATACAACATATGGGAATCTTTATTGAAGAAACGAAATGACATATATGCCAAGGATGGGGTTCACTTATCCAGGGCAGGTGTGGGTGTGGCATGCAAAGAGTACGTAACCTTTATTCGGCGCATGTACACACCCTCATTTACAGGCTATCTCCCCCAACCAGCGAACCAGGTAACTAAGAGTTGACGATGGGGCCCCGTCGTTCAACTAGTAACCAGGTTCCAGCCAATAATAAGATGGTTTTGGCAATCGCAGAGGTTATGTGGGTACCACTCTCCTGTCTGCCTTTGTCATTCCCATTCTAGAGCTGGTTGAAGCACGGTCTGCTCTCTAGTGGCTTCTATTCTGCCTTGCTTACCGTGGAGTGCGCTAATACCTATCACTGTACATAGTGTATATAGTGTACATATTGCTGTTCTAAATTGGTGAAGGATAATATAAGTCAAAACTTTTCTGCTGTATTTATTTTGCTCCCCTTACACCCAGGATAACAGGCCATTTGGACTCCTGGGCTGTAATAGTGGATTTTCTTGCTAGCTCAGTTGGTGTTAACACCACTCGCCTAGTTGAGGCAGTCAGCCACCAGGCTCAGTTGATCAAGTCTCCAGGTGGGTGGCAGGGCTTGCTCTAGTCGCTAGTAATACGCATCAAGTACATATCGTGAAGTTGCGCATACGGTGGCCCATGGCCTGGCGGCAAAAACTCTCGCTTCACAAGGTGAGGGTCCGGGTTCGATTCCCGGCAAACAGTGGAAACATTGGGCGTGATTCCTTACACCGGTTGTCCATGTCCACCTATCAGCATGTGAAAGGGGGTTCTTGCAGTTCTTGATGAACACGGAGTTCCACGATTCTAGGCTTGGGGCAGAGTGCATGGGCATGTCATTTAATGCTTTTTCGAAGTCTTTTGGATTTACGATAATATCAGAGATTTTTTAGTTTACCAAATTTTGAGTCTCGGTTATAAAAAATTGATTTACATTGTCGACTCTTAGTCTGGTTAATGGCGCACTAAACACTGAGTCATACTGAGACTTTGATGTCTCACTCATTTCTTTACTCATCTTTGTAAGCTCCATCTCGTCTAAGCAGGGGTCCAATCATGGATATTGTTTTTGCCATAGATTTGGCTTAAGAAAAAAAATATTTTGCGTTTCTTTTAATTTCATTTATGGCTTTAAGTTCTTCCTGAGTTTCTTGTCTCCTGTATGATTCCTTAAGATTAAGTTTGATATTTGCTATTTCTCTGACCAGTGCCTCTCGTATTTCAGATATACTGGCCCCTTTCAGCAGCTCTGTGATTCTTTGCCTTCACCTGTATAGGGATCGTCACTTCTAATTTACATCTTCTCTTCCTTTTTCATAAAGGAATGTGCCTTGAACATACCTCAAGCACCACAGAGTTAATTCTTTCTAGGCAAAAGTTCGGATCCACGTTGTTCAAGATATCTTCCCAATTTGTTTCATTTAGAACATGGTTGACCTGATCCCACTGTATGTTTTTGTTACTGAAGTTGGTAAAGGTACCATCATAACTAATCACCTTTTTCTGGCCAGGAGCCCCACACATACATGTCTGTACCTCTATTTTTTTGTGATTTGAGTGTATTGTCTTTGATACTCTTATATTTCATATCACATCACCATTATTAGTGAAGATGAAGTCCAGTGTATTTTCTTCAGTCTTGTTGGCTCTATTATTTGCTGGTTTAAGGTGAATTTGTTGCAGAGATTTGATAGCTCATGTATGTGAATTTTCATCTGACCTACTTCCTGAGGTTATTTCTACCAAAACATTATTTACTACACTCCTCCATTTTACGTGTCTTAAGTTGAAATCACCCAACAGCAAGATGTATGGGGCAGGAGTTGGGAGATTTTCCTGTGGTCAGTTTTCAAAAGCTTTTCGTGGAATTGTTGGGAAGTTACATCCGGTGGAGGCCAAGCCCATGATGACACTCTTCAGGTCACTTGTTCTATCTAGGCTGGAATATTGCTGCACACTAACAGCACCTTTCAAGGCAGGTGAAATTGCCGACCTAGAAAATGTACAGAGAACTTTCACGGCGCGCATAACGGAGATAAAACACCTCAATTATTGGGAGCGCTTGAGGTTCCTAAACCTGTATTCCCTGGAACGCAGGAGGGAGAGATACATGATTATATACACCTGGAAAATCCTAGAGGGACTAGTACCGAACTTGCACACGAAAATCACCCACTACGAAAGCAAAAGACTTGGCAGACGATGCACCATCCCCCCAATGAAAAGCAGGGGTGTCACTAGCACGTTAAGAGACCATACAATAAGTGTCAGGGGCCCGAGACTGTTCAACTGCCTCCCAGCACACATAAGGGGGATTACCAACAGACCCCTGGCAGTCTTCAAGCTGGCACTGGACAAGCACCTAAAGTCAGTTCCGGATCAGCCGGGCTGTGGCTCGTATGTTGGTTTGCGTGCAGCCAGCAGCAACAGCCTGGCTGATCAGGCTCTGATCCACCAGGAGGCCTGGTCTCAGACCGGGCCGCGGAGGCGTTGACCCCCGGAACTCTCTCCAGGTAAACTCCAGGTGGTTTGTTTACAACCACAATGACAAGGTTTTGATTTTCAGTCTTTACTGCTAAAACTTCAACTATATCATTTGAAGTGTTTAGTAGTTCCTAGCAAATGAGCGACTCTGTGACATACAGGCTAACCCCCCCCATCCTTATTGCCTGTTTACTCTGTTGCATCTGAATAGGTTATAACCTGGGATCTATAATTCATTGTCAAAGTGATTCTCTACATGGGTCTCTGTGAAAGCTGCAAACATTGTGCTGGACTCTGTAAGCAGTCCACTGATGAAATATACGTTGATGTTTGTTGATGGCTATAGACCCTGTATATTTGCAAATATAAATGTCATTGTATTGATGGTATGTAGGGCATGTTGTTCTGGAGTGGAGGCACAGTTGGTGACCTCCACACGTCAGCTTTTTTTTCTCTTCCTGATAGTAAAAAACCCGTGTCTCTGGAGTGGTTGTGGCTACCTTGGTTTGTTTCCCATGGTCAGGGTGATCTGTATCTTTTTGTCCCCTTTAAGATGTTGTGCCTGACAGTATATGTTGTAGAACTGTCTTTCATGTACTGAAGAGTAACACATTTCAATGTGAAATATATTACAAGAAGAGTTACATTCTTTAGTCATGTGGGCACAGCATTTTTTGAGATGGTCAAAGCTGCACATCCCACCTGTTTTTTCCAGATATTCCATGCCTACAGATACCCAAGGCATAGAAATGGCATATATTTGTTTTCTGTTTGCCAGGATTTTTTGTGGCTGCATTCCTTACTGGTGTATTTTTTCTGACTCCCCAGTATCTATTACACTTGTACTAACATCGGTGTCTCCATCAGTTTTTACTGGTAATATATCAAATCAACAATATTCCCCAAAGCATCATCCCTTTTTTTTTCAACTCCAGTAGTATTGCTACTCTGTAACTCTCGTATATCTTTATCTTTATTTGTTTCGTCACCAGGACCATTTATTCCCATCTGGTGCACTGTCTTTCATTTCTGTATTCTTACAAGTACTGTCCTCAAAGACAGCACCAGCACCAGGGGTGACAGCCCCATCTGACCCACTCCTTTTATTTTCGCAACTGTTATACAAGACTATTAAGTTTTCTAAGAAGGATATTTTTGTTGGTGTTCCTGTCTTTTAGTATAGATGTAATTTGCTGAAAGTTTTTCACTTGTCGTATGGGACCATTTTCCACAAAGACTGCATGTAACCCAAGCTAGACTTCGCTTGTTACTATCGC